GCCGGCGCACTCTGCACGTCAACAGGCACCGAAAAATCGCTATAAAAGGGCGGCGGCATCGGCAAATGCAAGCCTTTACACGCCAATTGAACAGATCTCCGGCGCCCTTCTTCACGGTTATGTCCATCGACATGCTCGCGCAGGCGGTCTCTCCAATCAATCCCCCAAAATGTAATGAGCCAAGCGTCGTGGCACGCTTGTCCACCTCTGCGCGCATGAACTAAGTCTGGTGATTCCCGCTTCCGCCTCCCATAATGTACGCCGCGAGCTAGCTCCCACCATTTGGTTTCACGCTCTTTCCGTACTGCTGCTGCCAACTCTCCACCCCCATCCCCCTTCAGCAAGCTAGCATAAATCCGCTCTAACATAAGCACGTGGCATACATTAAACCAACGATCCAATGTTATCAAAGTGCGCCTGTTGAAAGACATCTGGCTTTCTTCCGGAGCCCGTCGCATGCGGAAGACCCGTCGAAGACGATTACGCTCCCAGCGCACGAACTCCATGATCAGCGTCTTGTTCCAACGCACAAGAGGCGACAGAAACAATGCAGATGCCCGGGGACGTGTTGACCGAGCCTGCAACTTCAAACTGACTGGGGATTTCCCCACAAGATGTCGGCGTACTTTGTGGAAGCTGAGCTCGCCCTTCTGAAGTCTATGTTGCAAAAACGCCTGGTCGGGGCGCGCGAAATCCAATTTGCCACCTAAGGCGATCATAGAATTGACGCGAGCATATGCCAATGTATTCGTATCTACAGTTACATTGTAAGTAAGATTGGAAGGCAACTCAATGTTGGTAACAATAACTTCCAACGATGAAAGTTTCTATGTCCAGACGTACCTGTCCGCAATTGCACGTGTCAGCGTAGATATCATGAACGTAAATTCCTTCGGGAAGCGCGCCAAAATGAAGTTGTTGCCCACCCATGTGACTGAAGGAATCCGACGGCCAGAATCCGGCAAATCGAAGCCACCAGCGACGAGTTCCCATTCAACCTCCAATCTGTCCAGAACCTCGTCGAACATGCGACTGAAGATGAGCGGCTCGATCCGGCCACCTGTCTTCAAAGCACTGCTCATCGGCAAAAGGTCCGTGGTCGCAATGCCCGGAATGTTCATCACAACTTCCTTGCCCTGTATCTCCCGCGCAATGGCCAATACCTGGTGAGGTGATGCTCCTGCCTGCCGCAATGTCGACACAGCGTCAACATGGACAACTGAATCAAATGCAGTATTGATGTCCTGGGCGCCAATTGCCAAAGGTAAACCCCACTTCGAAGCAAAACCTAAAATTTCAAACAGCACTCCAAAGCAATCGTCCACCGAGGATCCTCCCCTGAACCCGTACTTTTCGCACGAACAAGGGGTCGCATCAGAGGGCACGCAGCAGAGTACACGAACGCGCTGTACAACTTGCACACTTGGTCCATGATTCCCAACCATCGAAACTCAGAGAAATCATGGGGGATGTCAGCTTTGGGGATACCGAGCAACTCGAAATGCTCCCACGAATCCACATGATGAAGATGCCACTTCGTGTCCTTGAACCTTTCTACGAACAAGTGGTAGAGTCGAATATTGAGGAAATGCGGCACATGCCTCCGCACAATTCCTGTCACCCGGTCACCTGCAGGCCGTGCATGATCGGAGATTCTAGCAAGCTGCTCGAGAAACTGATTCGTAGTAGGTACCCCCAAGGGTGCACCATCCTTCACTCGACTGTCAGCATCCAATCTGAAACGTTCCACTGCAGTATGAGTGTTGTCCGTCTGAACCTGGGAGGCTGTGAATTTCTTCCTACCAAGCTGCTCCAATGCGTCCTTCCAAGTTGCCCGGTTTGCTGTGACATGTCCGGCTAAATTCAAAACTGCCGGCGGCGAGTGGTCGATGATTTTATCCTTGCGGACGAGGCTCTGCAGTACCTGCTTGTTATTGTTGTGTCCACGCTTGTTCCCTTTTCATGGCTAACGCTCAATTTCAACAACGCTCAACTCGTCATCTTCAACAACGCTCAACTCGTCCTTGTCGTCGTCGTCTGGAAGACGTTCCTGAATACGCTTGTGGGAACATCACGCATATTGGCGTCTCTCTCGGGAGCCTCATCATCGTCGTCATCATCGTCACCGACATGATCCTCGTCGTCTTCGTCTCGCAGGTGTTCCCGGAGACGCCTCCAGGAACATCTCCATATTCGCCATCATCATCATCATCATCATCACCTTGATCATACTCATGAGCATCGTCATATATTCGTCATGCCATCGCCATCATCATCGTTATCTTCAACAACACTCTCGTCGTCTTCCCCCAAAAGTACCCGGAGATGCTCCTGGGGAGTCGTCGTCGCCAGGGTGTTCCCGATGAGGCCTCCAAGAACATGGCCATCACGAGCAGCCACATCATCATCGTCATGAGCATCGCCATTGTCATCTTCGTCACCAACAAGTGCCTCGTCGTCGTCGCCGTCTCGAAGACGTTTCCAGAGACGGCTCCGCGAACATCTCCATCATCGCTAGCATCTCCACCATCATCATCATCATCATCATCATCATCATCATCATCATCATCATCATCATCATAATCATCATCATCATCACCATGTTCATGAAGCATCGTCATCATCATTATCCTCGTCATCATCCTCACAATCATCATCATCGTCATCTTCAGCAACGCTCAAGTCGACGTCGTCGTCTGCAAGACGTTCCTGGAGACGCTTGTGGGAACATTACGCATGTTGGCGTCTTTCTCGGGAGCCTCGTCGTCATCGTCATCATCGTCACCAACGTGATCCTCGTCGTCGTCGTCATCGTCGTCTCGCAGGCGTTCCCAGAGACGCCTCCCGGAACATCTCGATCTTCGCCAGCCTCATCATCATCATCATCATCATCATCACCACCATCATCATAATCATGTTCATGAGCATCGTCATCTTTTCATCATCGCCATCATCATCGTCATCTTCACCAGAACTGTCGGCGTCGTCGTCGTCTCCCACACGTTCACGGAAATGCTTGTGGGAACGTCAGGCGGACGCTGTTGTGAGCCACCCTGGAGGCGTTTTGAGGCCTCTTGGGGGGCCTCCTGGGGGCCTCCCGGGGCCTCTGGGTGGCCTTCTGGGGCCTCCTGGGGCCCTCTTGAGGCGGAATTCTGGAATTTCCCATTCGTGGTGCCGCTCCGGGGCCCCTCTTGGCGTGCTCTTGGGGCCCTCTTGGGCGGTCCCGGGGAGCTCTGGGGCCGTCCTGGGGCCCGCTTCGGCCGTCCTGAGGCTGTCCTGGGGGCCTCCTGGGCCGCCTTGGAAGCTTGTTGAAGGCCTCTGGTGCCGCTTCTGAGCGCGGGACCCCCGAAAAGGCGAGAGGACAGAAAGCATTGGAACATCAAAATAAAATCAATGATTTTTGCAAGTCGTGGAGGACTTCGGACTCCTCCAGCAGCCTTCCTGGCGCGGCTTGGCGTCTCCTCGAGAACGCCTTGGGCCCTCTCGGGCCTGTTTCGGCGCTCTGGAGGCCACAGCCGCCCGTCTCGGCAACCTCCGGGCCCGCCTTGAAACCTTTTCGGCGCGTTTTGGGCCCATATTGGGGGGCCCAGGGGGGCCCGGTCCTCCCATGGAGGGGAGAGGCAGCTGGTTTCGGGCCCCGGAACGCCTACTCTGGTATATATTATATATATATTATTATTGTATTATAGTATATGATGATATATATGAATACGTGTATGTATATATTGAAAAATACCAGCCATTTTTTTTTGCATGAGCATCCAAGCATGGTGTAGAATGGGATGTCGAAACGGTGGTAATAGTAGCGAGCGCTCCTTTTACCCACCGCCCCAACGCAGATGGTACAGTATGCGGCGACGCTTACTGTAGGCATATTGGGCGTGCACGCCTATAAGGCACAATAGTTACGGTGCACAAGCATCTCTCGGAGAATACCCTCAAAGTCGGAGGGGGAGGAGACGCCGTGCAACCGTACCCACTGTGTTCTGCATTTAAACAGGCTTATAAACTGCACTGCGGTGGCCAATATAATTTCAGCGAAAAAGCAGCGGCAGAGCGCGCCATGCCTCTGCAAAGCGGGAATCGAGCTGCCTCGACTCCACGGCGGCGGTTCAGCGGCGCAGCGTGCACTCGTGGTTACACGATCGCACGTCGCGCAGGCAAGCACTCGACGGATGCGAGACCGGTCCCCCGGAGGATCCAGGGAACTGGGCCTAGCAAACAGCCGGGCAGTATTAGGGAGCGAGGGCTCCCTATAGGTAGTCTGGGCGAGGACAGATCCCGCATGGGTTCCGTCGCACCCTGAGAACCTAAGACAAGCGGATTAAAGCAACGAAGCGCAGCTGAAACAGACGCGATGTGCCGCCGCTAGTACTCGCACAGGAAGGTCACCTCCTGTGCTAGCACTGCGGGGCACAACGGATCAGGCTGGCAACAGGCGGCTGCTTCGCAGCGGAATACTCCAGCACACAGATCGGCAGGCTGCGAGATATATCCGGTAGACTCATGTCCGTTAGAACTGCGTGTGAGATGCCGCCGTCTGCGGTGAGCTGCCAGTGGAGCTGCCACGGAATGGTGATAATAATTTAACATCCTGTTTGTACGTCTGTTGTCCCACCATAACCTCCAGCAACAACTGGCGATCGATCGACCCTTTTGTTTGTCCGCCCGCAGTCATATCTCGAATGCCACACCATTGTACACAAGAAATAATGCCCAAGTCCATAAACTCACGAATCCAGCGGATGTGTCCCAATAAGGCATTCTCTGTTGGTACCCTAAGATTCTTGCTGGTGAGAGATTCGTAGACTGACTCAGCGTCGATAGTGAGCGATACTCGTAGGCCTAGTCCACCTCGATCACGAATGGCTTTAAGCCCGTTGGCTGGTAATCGTCCATGTTCGAGTTCGAGAAGGGTGATCAAGGTCGGATAGCATTCATCAACGCTGTGGGCTGCTGCTAACGCTTCCGCTGCATAACTCGATCTGACCTGGAGGCGGTGCGGTTTGCAAATGCAATGCACGACTGTCTTCCTGCTGGTCGTGTTACCACGACGCAGTAGGCTGCACCCCCGGAGACCATATCCCTTGGTCTCGTCGTCTTCCTCCCCCGTGAGTTTACTGTAACCTGTATCACTATGAAGACCCACTCGGCCATCTGGGGTCATCGCCTGGAAGATGATCTTCTTCTGGCTCTCAAGGAATTTTCGAGTGATCGCATTGAGCCTTCTGACCCGAATGTTGGTCGGCTCCTGAATGCCTTGCAGCGATACGACATACATCATGATCCAGAATTGGGTCGGAATTGCATAGGCTAAGGCCCCCAGGAGACTAACGAACACGTCGGTAACAATATTGCTCGCCTTGTGCTCGGGGTTGGCCCCGACGAGGTCGGGCTGACTGATGGGACGTAGCTGCTTAATGTACTCGTCCTGGTCCATAGTGACGCCCCCATCAGAGTCCATGGAGCATCGAAGAGCGCAGTTGATATATGTGTTTTTGTTGAGCTTGCAGGTGCCAAAGACCCGTTCGACCTTCTTAACGTAGTCGTCGATATTATTAGCCGTTCCCGCCATATTGATGTCGTCCACCTGCTTGGCGGCCAGGAGGTCCTTGGCCATATCAAACTCTGGGTCGTAGGAAGTGGAAACTAAGCCGATGTTCTGGGTGGTCTGCCTGAGTTCCAGGGAAGAGGCCCGCGGGGCACCCTTCGTGCCAGTGCCCGGCTTAAGGGCACTTTAAGCAGTGCCGAGACTCGTCGCAGTCCTCAAATCTCGGCAGCGCGCGTAGCACAGCGGCACTACCCGGGGGCAGGGTAAAGCACACAGTACGTTCCGAATCCCCCGTCGCCGCCGACAGCTCCTTGTAGGTGATGCCCTTTAAGAAGGCCTTGCCCACGTCTAGGCTAGCTCGGGGTCGCCTGTGTATTGATGAGTAAACTGTCCCAGACTAGTAGTGTTCAGTATTGGCATACTTCTGAACCACGAATAATAATCGTCGCCATCGTGGTCAAAATCTGGTTCAGCTTGCACTCCGTTATGGGATGCGGCAGACGAAGGTGGCGCTGCCGCATTGGACTGAGAAGGCCCCCACGGTGATGTGGGGATCCCTGCCGCTTGATCAGCCGGCCCAGCCATTCCTGATGATGACGCTGCCCCCGGCGCGTAGGTAACCGTCGATGTGTTTCGGCGCATCCGCTCAGTTCTGTCATCCAAGTTGTCGCCACAGGAATATGGATGGTCAAACCTGTCAATACCCATCAGGCTGTTGGCGAAGACGCTGATGCGGCCCAGGCGCTCGGTGCGTTGTATTTCGTGTCGAAGCTTGTGTTAGCATATACGATGGAGGCACCTCATCGGCACGCCGAACGCCCTGAACTCCTCTCGATAGATTGGAAGTGCAGGTAGATACGATTCCAGATCTCGAAGCTCTTGCGGGTCATGTCGACCACCGTCTCCAGGACGGATGAGTTCTCATGGCTGAGCCCAAACTGAGCATGATCAGGTTGTGCGCCTGCTGGGCGGGCGTGCAGTTCTGTGAACCGATAAAATGCCCGCAAGTTGCGGTAGTGTTCTTGATCGATGTCGATGTGCGGTTGATCATCAGATTGGTAATCATCTGGCTGTTCGACGTCAGGTATCATGCCGCGTGTCTCTTCGGACCCCAGGAACCTTGGCAGATTTTGGTTGAGAAGTACCGTCTCCTCGTCTGGCACGTCGTCGACCGGCTCGGAGGCCGGGGTTGATGCGGTATCGGTCCGATCTCGACTGAAGATTCTAAAGTGTTCGTAACCATATATTGCTGCGCCACGTTCTTCCTGTTCTCGCAGTACGGCTTCGCGTAGCTCAGGATCGATAACCGTCATGTTCGAGTCGAGCTGTTCCACGTACCACTGGACGCGGATATCTTGCGCTCGTTGTATCTGCGCCGGGGTGCGTGTTTCCACGAATCCCTCCAACTCGTTGATGCGGTGGCTGATCGCCTCGATCTCGCTGATGTCCAGGGCCCCGCTCACCTGGTGATGTTCGAGTGCATCCCCCACCCGCTCGGTCGAGATGCCCTCAGGCGTGCACGGGAAATAGCCTAAGATCCACTGCTCGAACGAGATCTCCGTTGGTCTTTCGGTGGTCATGGTATCGTAGACGAGGTACAGGAACTCGATGGTCTCCTCCTGGGCATCTGTCAGGTAGATGCCCTGATGCCCTCCTGCTGATTAAACTCCCGGAGGTCCATGTACTCCACCAGGCCGGTAAGAGCATCTGTAGGGTCGGCGCCTCCTTTACCTTTTCCTTTGGGGCAATCGCGCTTGAGGTGCGTCTTGGAGCCGCACTCGAAGCATCCCATGATGTTCCCCCCCTTTCCGATCGGGTTATGGCGTCTTCCTTTGCCCTTGCCGGTGGATCGGCGACCCCCCCCTCTGCCTTTTGAACGCCCCCGTCCTCCAAAGAAGAGCTCCTCGTGGGCTGCGTCGCTGAAGGCAGCCACATAAGTCGTGATTCCACGACCCGTGAGACAACGCCTGCCGCCTTTGCCTCTGCCCTTGCCCTTGAGCTTGCGCATCATGAACCTGCGGACTCGGCGCGTAGGTTTCTTCGTGAAACGCCTCCAGCGACCATTAGCTCGCTGCTTCAGCCAGAATCACTCCTGCTGGGCCTCGGCTTCGTTTAGGCCCTCGATGTCGTCCCAGACGTACTCTGTCTCGAAGAGGGAGCTGATGGTGTCCGCGTCGGTGCCGGAGTCGTCATCCTGCGTGGCTCCACCGAATAGGGTCGCCACTGGGGCGTTCGCCGCAGGAGTCGGTGAAGCAGGTGCTTGTGTAAAGGGGACTCTGGGACTCGTGACTCTGCCAGGCGTACGCCACCCATCGCCCCGCCCGTTGGCTGTTCCCCAAGATCCTGGCTGGGGGTCCTGATTCACGGGCGAGTACCCGTCGCCCGTCATGAACACGTTCTGGGCGTCTGTCAGGTGGACGTCGGAATGCGCATTGCCGTTAATGGTCTGAACGATGTTGCAAGGCATGCGCTCCAGGACGTGTCTACGACGACGGATGGTCTCGATAAGGAGCTGGTTGTCGTAATTTTCCAGGAGCCTCGCAACTTCCTGAGCCGAGAAGCGCAGGGCTCTCAGCAGCGCCGTTGTGAGAAGCTGGAAATTTGGCATATCGAAACCAGCGGTGGGCGCTTCCAAGCGCGACGCCTCCCAGCGAGCCAGAACAAAATCGATGCGCTCGTTCGGCCTGACCTGAAGTCCAAGATCGCGAGCCCCTGCTGTAGCTGGCGCTCGTCCTACAGGGCCTCGAAACGCTGGGACAAGTAGTACAATAAGTAGGCGATTGGGTCCGTGTTAACCCCCTCGATCTGCGCGCCGAAATTGATCACATGTGGTGGTATGCGCATGGCGAGGGTGCGTGCCAAGCCTTGCAGTCCCCTTTGGAGGGCTGCGGCCTGCCGCGAGGGCGTCATGCGTCCTGACTGGACGCTGAGCCGGGCATGCACCTCTCGGACCCACTGTCGAAAGGGCACGGTGCCCGCTGAATCCCATGCTGGTCCTCGTGCGTTGTCACTCTCGCGCATCACGCGGGCAATCCACAATCCGATCGCGCACGAAAGCATACCATAACTACACGCCAGTATGGTCCGAAGTCGTTGTCGAACTTGCCCAAAGACGTTGTAGTTGTTGGAAGCCGGAGTCGGAGAGCATGATGCCAATGTGAGGATCGCGGGTACGCGATCCGTGGCAGAGAGAGACAGGTTCGCGGCAACGCGATCCTGAGAGGAATGGGCATGGGCGTAGGTCGCGTTACCGCGACGCTGGAGAAAGGCATGGGGGTTGGGCGCAAGAGGTGGGTGTCGGAGTAACGGTAGTGTGCGTATTGGGCATGCCCTCGAGGTAGCCAAAGGTCGCCACATTCATGCTTCCACGAAAGCTGTGATGATGCTGAGCATCATGGCGTCCGTCTCGTGCTCGTAGAGTAGGACGAATACCGGTGTGTGCGAAATAAACGACCGTGGCACGCGGAGCGCGCCAGACGGTTCACAGTTGCCTCCACATGACAACCAGATCATCGCACAGCCATCGCACGCACGACATCGTTCGGTTCACAGTTGCCTCCACATCACAACCAGATCATCGCACAGCAATCGCACGCACGACATCGTTCGATTCACATGCCAACATCATCTCATCACAGCCTTTGCACGCACATCTTGGCAAGGAAGATGGTTTGAAGTCTCCCTCACCGCGGCTGGCAAAACATATCACAGCCTCTGCACGCACGTCTTCGCCAGGGAGATGTTTTCACGTGTGCCTCACTGGGCCTGCCCGAATCATATCACAGCCTCTGCACGCAAGGTCTCGCAAAGAAGATGCGGTCGCTTCTTTGTCGCCGGGCCTATCCCCCCCCCTCCCTCGCCCGCCGCCCCACCCTCCCATCCTCCAGCCTCCAATTTAAAATCGCCCGCACTCGTCCGCAATCCTCCCGCCGGAGGCCTCCAGCACTAGTGCCCAGACGCCTCCGCTCGAATTTGATATCCTCCGCACTCGTCCGCACTCCTCCCGGAAGCCTCTGGGAGGCAGTCCAGAGGCCTCCGCTGGAATTTGACATCCTCCGCATTCGTCCGCACTC